GCTTGTCGGCGAAGTTAGTGCCAACTTTAGCGGATAGAGGGTGTCGCATGGTGAGCGCAACGAATGCTCAGGGTCGTCAATTTCGGTTTTCTAGACCGGAGCCGCTATTTCCTTGAAGTAGCTCCTCAATTATCCTCACGAGGCTGAGTGGACCCCGTTACAGAACAACTACTTCTCAGAAAATCTGGTATAACCGGGAATCGAACCCGGGACCTCTGGTTCTGTAGCCATGAACTCTGATCACTAGACCATAGAGGCGGTCCTTTCTTCCATAAACATTTTAAAATATTCCTGATACACAAATTTACCCTTTCCTGATGAGCGTGCCTGTTTAGGCGTCAGCATAAGCCACTGATTTATGGGAAAATGTTAATTTTTCGTTGAAACCAGACTGCAGTAACTGACATGACATAACCTCTTAAATATGAATGCACATTCGACTTAAGCAAAACTATGCCTACGTACGTAGGCAACCATTCTATATCTACTGCATGCGGGACTACCTAAGCGCCCGGCGTAGGCGTTATGAGTCAGAAGGAGTGAACTCGATAATATACAACTGCATTGTTTCAAGGTTAATACTGATCAATACGTTATCGTCAGAAATTAGCATTCTTCACTGTTCAAATTGCCAGTAGTTTTATGCTTTACATGTTAAAACACAATAATGTCACGTGTTTTAGTGACTAGAGACGAGGTTTGGATTGGTAATTAGATTTATTGGTCTTACAACTACAATGTAAATTTGAAGCTATCGCTAATTCACATTGCAGTTCAGTATTGTATGCGCCATGTCTTCTCGGTCTGCTCTATAATCACCGGTTGTCTGGTAACGGCTTCCAACGACGTAGCTTCCTCAGCTTCTGTGTTCCAAGGCTCCGGTCCTAGCTGGCTGACGCCTTTCTCACAAATAAATCGGCGTTACTACACAACGGCTTACAAACAATGGGGGTTGCTCCACCTTTCACACTCAACCAGAGACGACTGCCTCAGGACCTCAGACTTGGCCTGGTCGATCTGCCTGCAGTCTCTCTCTAAAGACTGGTTCGCTTCGGTCGGTTAAATTGCTGCTGGACTTCGTCAGCACAGTCATTCCTGGCTTAAGTCTTCTCGAGATCCATGACCAATACTTTTTTCTCTCCTAGACACTTATTGGTTTGCTTCTGAATCGAAGTTTCTTTACGACTGGCGGTTTACGGCCAAGTCCTTTAAGGATCACGACCAGATATTTTGTTTTTTTATTTTATTTTTGCAACTAAATCCTTGCGGTCATAATCCTAACTTAACATCCTTCATTTCAGAACTGAATGTTAAAAATCAACTGCTCAATACTGAGGTCCTCATTCGTTAAACTGGGATGAGCCATGGTTATAGGGATCCCCAAAATTTCTTTCTTCCGTCTTTTTATATTCTCCATTTTCCTTCCTTCGTTCCTTTCTTTCTTCCCTTATTCATTTCAAATTTATGTTCATTTTTCCTCCCTCCACATTTCATTATTTCATTTGAAATTCATTTGTGTCCTTCCTTTATTAATCGATTTAACAAAATTTAATTGAAAGGAGGACCGTGCTATACAGAGGGATCGATTTTCTTCTGACGTATATTCAAAGAAATAAACGAGCGTCCAGAGGGTGACATAGCGTTTATTAAATATTGCATAGGCCACGCGGCGTTTTTGGTTGCTTGGCAACGCACCTCGGTAATAGACAGGGACTGCGGTAGTGGGTCAACCTCAAGCTCAGTTGAAGGTTATGGGAAGTGGTGGGGGTAGTGATCTATATATGCATATGAGGCACTTATTTCCACGATAACATCTGACTGTAGGACCTGCTGTTACACTCACACGTCATCAGAACAAAATTTACAGCACGGTCCCTACTCACGATTTATAGCACAGTTTTCTGTCCACTGAAAATTACTACAACCCTATACTGTTCGAACTAGAATTGAAGTCATGGCTTCAAGAGAGTACATATGACGTTTTAGGATCATGGAAGAATCTGTATAAATGAAGAGAGCCATTATTCGCTTAGTGAGGGAGTCCAGCTGAGTCCACTCGGCACGGCGGACACTGATTGACATATTGTACTTACCTCGGGTGATTATGATGATGGAGAATTTGGTGGAATGAAAATTGGTAGGGAAAACCGAAGTACTGGGAGAAAACCTGCCCCAGCGCCGCTGTGTCCACCACAAATCCCACTTGACCNAAAACAGAAGTACTCGGAGAAAACCCGCCCCAGCGCCACTGTATCCACCACAAATCCCACTTGACCAGACACGGGATCGAACCCGGGCTGCCGCGGTTGGAAGCCAGCGACTAACTGCTTGAGCTAAGAGAGCAATTAATTTCTACCATTTCTTTCTCAATCTAGTTCCTACACGCCAAAGAAGAAAAGCGNATTAATTTCTAAGCCTGGGACTCCAAACCGGTCCTGCCGTGCTCTGAAATCCATTTCTTTCTCAATCTAGTTCCTACACGCCAAAGAAGAAAAGCGCAGGCCCGAAGCTGCTATACTTAACTGCGGGCTTCAACTGAACTGAATTTTCGTATATCGAATAGAGATGTCAGTCAGTACTAACAGCTGCTCAGCTAGAAATTTCCTGCCTTTAATAGGATTACGCAGTTCATTACCATCTTTACAACTACCCAATGGGCTTCTCTATTTCCAGAAGAATCCAGTGAGCATCCTTTAAAACCCATAACACTGTCACGTAACTGAAAAAGTACAGACGGGTTTTGCATTGGCAATTGGATTTATTGAACACTTACAGATCGTAACTATAAATAACTACAGCGCTATCGCTAATTAACACTATCACTAGTTTACTGCAGCTTGCACTAAGTCTTCTCAGTCTGCTGTGTCTTCATAAGTCGTTGCCTGGTAACGGTTTCCAAACCGTAGCTTCCTCAGCTTCCGTGTTCACGCCATTACTGACCGGCGATTGTCTTCTAATTAACTAAACACAAATCAAATTCAAAGTCACATTGCGACTAACGGTCAGTCAATAAGTCTTGGTGTCGAGCCCCATTTGGGGCTCATGACCGACATTTATTAGTGTTTGACAGTTACGGTCTTTTTTTTTTTTGGGGCGCCTTTTCTGTCTTTTGTATATGCTGCTGGCCCTTGCCAGCGCAGTCTTTAT